AATTACAATTGCCTTGTTTACTAGTCTCAGGCCAGGATCCTTAGAATGCTTTGTAATGGTAAGTGGTTGCTGATCTGCACTCCTTCCTGGGCTGTTACATTGGAAGGCCCAGATAGCTCCCTTTACCAGGTTATATGTGGCTATAGTTGGTGAGTAAATTTTCCTTTTCTGAGCTTTGGCTACATAGAAGTTCTTACCTATTTCATCCCAAATCCTCAGATCCAGTGTACCAACTTTGGGAAAAGATGGATAAAACGTTTCTATCTCATGGAGTAATTGCAAAACTCGCTTAGATGGTATCTTAATACCAGCATCTTTTAACAGCTTCATAATCAATAAACTAAATTCTTTCTCTTCTGTGGATAAAGACTGAGCTTGCCTCATTGTTACCCTTGACGAACAGATTCCTATTTGCTACTTGCATCTGAGCACTATAATTAATAAAATGCTCCACTTACCTTTAAATTGGTCACACAAGGTCCAGTGGGTCACCTGCATGTGATTCTGGTAAGTGGTCGTTGTGTCGAGAAGGTCGCGCGTTCCGGCCACGTTGAGCGCCAATTGTAGGAGACACCTCCTGGACCTCGTCTCAGTCCAACAAGTCAATATTTATAATCCCAAAGTTACGTTATTGGAATCCCATCAAGTGGATTCCAATCTACCACTTACAATGCTACCCACAGCGAAAATAAAGACACTAAATTATATTTTCAGTCATCGGGGGGGGGTCAAGGGGCTCTAAGTCCAGTCACGAAGATGGCTTTCTGGAACCAAGAGAGTGACCCAGGGTCTCACCCTGTTTTTATTCAGTGGGGGAGTGGCTTGAGGAGGATTGACTGAGAATTGTGGGAAATAGGTGATCCTTGTGAGCTGAGCTAGGTGGGTGGCCTACATTTACCCAAGGCCAATTGATAAACAGAAGTCCTATCCAGCTCTGTACATAGGAAATAGGGTCAGGCTCAGTCAGAATGGAGACAGTCGCTCTTCTTTCAAGGAGAGCTGCTCAGGGGGTCCTCCACATCAATGTATGTCAGGTCACAGGATAAATGATAATACATAATTCCAATTAATATCTTGTAAGGGCACTTACAGTTCTAGGTTCAGTGATGAATTTAAAAAGGTCTCACTTCTTGTAGAAACTGTTGTCCCGCAAGAGAAGATACAAACTGTGGAGGACCACCTGAGTAGCTCTCCTTGAAAGAAGATTGACTGTCTCCATTTTGACTGAGCCTGACCCTACTTCCTCGTATTCTGTACAGAGCTGACTAGGACTTCTGTTTATCCTTCAGTCGGCCTTAAGCAATGCGTATTAGTCTGGCTGAGGTGCTGGTGATAGTCTTTGAAGGTGGCATGCGTGTTTCCCTGATAACCTACACCTACTGCTCTTTAATGTGAGCTGGGTGGAGACAGGATGGTAGAGCTAATGCTCCGCTTCGCCAGCTGGGATGGAACCTCCAGATAGAGGCCATGACTTCCTGGGGCTTGAAAGACTACATCAGAGCTGAAGCACCAGACTTACCAAAACATTAGATACTATATAATGCAGATTACTCTCTCTGCATATCCTCTCTGCATATGGCAGAGGTAAATGTAGGCCACCCACCTAGCTCAGCTCAATGTAGTCTCCTTCCCACAATTCTCAGTCAATCCTCCTCAAGCCACTCCTCCATTAAATAAAACCGGGTGAGGCCCTGCGTTGCTCTAGGGATTCCGGAAAGCCATCTTCATGGCTGGCCTTAGAGCCCCTTGACTCCCCTATGATTGAAAATATAACTTAATGTCTTAATTTTCGCCGTGGGTTGCATTGTAAATGGTAGATTGGAATCCACTTGATGGGATTCCAATAACGTAACTGGGATTATAAATATTGGTTTCTTGGACTGAGATGAGGTCCTGAAGTGTCTCCTACAGCAAATGAACACTAAAATTAGCTGTTAAGTGTAATGGGTTAACTCACATTTTAGGCTATAAATGTAAATCTTGTGTTTTCTGTTGTGCACAAATGTATACTTAGCACTGTTCCAAGTTGTTTAGTAACTAGTGGCTGTCTCTTGCTGTTTGCTAGATAAAATTCCTGTGACCCTCTCCAATTCCTGTCCGCAAAGTTAGTTTACAGAGATGACAAAGGAAACTAACTGGGCTTTATCTTCTTGTAACCTCTGGGCTATGTAAGGCCGCCTGCAGGTACTCAGGTGCAAATTAACCAGAAACTGAAACAAAAGCCCCGGAAATGTAGTTTGAGTTGTGGTCCCAATCACTCTGAAAGCATTATTCTGTGTCAGAAAATGAATTTGCTTATCAAACT